ATAGTGAGAATTGGTCCTCAAACTAAAGTGTCACCAAAATCATCTATACACAGGGTTCCCACAGGTCAAATGGTTTCTGAAATATTATGGCATTTTTAAAAAGTCTGTTTCAGACACTGAAAGTCAGGGACAGAGTATATATCTTTGGCCATCTCATCTTTTTTTGAGCTGACTCATTCCTATGTTATGGTGAGTCTGTTTCTCAGTCACTGTTATTTTTTATACTCATTTACTAGCAGTCTCTGAATCAAATTCAGTCAGAAGAATGTAAGAGATAAAGTACATCCAATAGGTTGTTATCTCAAAAGGTTTTATTCAGCAAACTGTATATATTTTATGCTGGATGTACTTTATCACTTTTATTACACAGCTACTTGTCACAAACTTTAAAAATTAGACACAAAACATTATTCTGAGCTGTAATAGTTTATTCATTCTTTAATTATGCACAAAGCTGACAGAAACCAAAACAGCTGATGGAGTATACACTAACCTGCATGTTATTCAGACACAAGATGGCGCCAAACAGTCAAAAACACAAAGCTGACAGAAACGAATACAGCTGATGGAGTATACACTAAACTGCGCATTATTCAGACACAAGATGGCGTCAAACAGTCAAAAACAAAAAGCTGACAGAAACAAAAACAGCTGATGGAGTATACACTAACCTGAATGTTATTCAGACACAAGAGGGCGTCAAATAGTCAAAAACAAAAAGCTGACAGAAACAAAAACAGCTGATGGAGTATACACTAACCTGCACATTATTCAGACACAAGATGGCGTCAAATAGTCAAAAACACAAAGCTGAGAGAAACGTAAACAGCTGATGGAGTATACACTAACCTGCACATTATTCAGACACAAGATGGCGCCAAATAGTCAGAAACACAAAGCTGACAGAAACAAAAACAGCTGATGGAGTATACACTAACCTGCAGGTTATTCAGACATAAGATTGTACAAGACAAGTAATATTCAGGCTGAACCCATTTCAATATTATGCCAAGCCCAACAGTGGCCTAAGTCATAGAAATTCAGGCAATTTGATATTTGTCTTCGAGTGGGAACTCTGCATTGTTATTATTGACTGCTGTTATGTTTGTGTGTGTGTGTGTGTATATATATATAAGGTCTCTTTACCCCCTAAAGTTCTCAGAGCGAGTCAATCTCTGCTCAGTTGAGCTTTTGGGTGGACAGAGTCACGTGTTTAAAAACAGGCCCTCGCCCACACAGGTGCTGCGAATGTGTGTGTGTGTGTTTACAGCGGGTAAAATAAGTATTGAACACGTCATGGTTTTTCCTGGTGGATATATTTCTAAAGGAGCTGTTGAAATGATATTAAGATTTTAGTAACAATCTAAATAGACAAATAATAAAAAGAAATCTGATTATAGTTATGTGTAATAACAATGAAATGACACAACTCAGCCAGTGAAATAGTTGTATTTAAGGCTTTGTATGAAAGGCTTTTTGGTAATGAGAGCTTTAAGACCCCTCTTGTATGGAGAATGAGGGTCGTATAAATTGATCAGGTGCATTTATTCATTTTTATATTTATTGTATTGGATAATATGGAAAGGTTTATGATTTGAAAATGATTCAGTTTGTAAAGTAATATTTTCTTTTAGTAGATGTATATACAAAAAGTTAAACAGAAAATGTTGGCAGTTTTAAAAGCAAGATTTTTACAAACCGGTTATCGTCCCATGCTGATTCATTGCAGAAATAGTGTTCAAACATCCTTTGGCCCCGGTAATTAGTATAGTTTTCTTTGTAAATATGGAGAGCATTGTTTGTTACTGACATCTGGTAAACATTTGTAAACAATTTCAAGTCAGAATCCCTTTTAAAGTTTAAAATTTTAAGTCAGAATCAGTTTTACAGATTAAAATTTTAAGTCAGAATCACTTTTAGAGTTAAATATTTTAAGTCAGTACCACTTTTACTTTAAATTTGTAGGTCAGAGGCACGTATAGCGTTTACAATTTTAAGTCAAAATCACTTTTACAGATTAATAATAATAATAATAATAATAATAATAATTCCTTACATTTATATAGCATTTTTCTGGGCACTCAAAGCGCTTTACACAGTGGGGGGAATCTCCTCATCCACCACCAGTGTGCAGCATCCACCTGGATGACGCGACGGCAGCCATTTTGCGCCAGACCTCACACCACACACCAGCTGATTGGTGGAGAGGAGACAGTGATGCAGCCAATTGAATATGGGGATGGTTAGGAGGCCATGATGGACAAAGGCCAGTGGGCAGATTTGGCCAGGATGCCGGGGTTAAACCCCTACTCTTTTCGAAGGACATCCTGGGATTTTTAACGACCACAGAGAGTCGGGACCTCGGTTTAACGTCTCATCCGAAAGACGGCGCTCACTGAGCAGTATAGCGTCCCCGTCACTATACTGGGGCATTAGGACCCACACAGACCGCAGGTTGGGCGCCCCCTGCTGGCCTCACTAACACCACTTCCGGCAGCAACCTAGCTTTCCCATGTGGTCTCCCATCCAGGTACTGACCGGGCACAGCCCTGCTTAGCTTCAGTGGGCGACCATGTGAGAGTTACAGAGAGCTAGCTGCCGGCAATAAAACTTCAAGTCAGAAGTCAGAAGCTTCAAGTCAGAAGCACTTTTAGAGATTAAAATTTTAAGTCAGAATCACTTTTAGTTTAAATTTATACGTCAGAGGCACGTATAGCGTTTACAATTTCAAGTCAGAAGCACTTTTAGAGTTTAAAAGTTTAAGTCTGAAGCACTTTTAGAGTTTAAAAGTTTAAGTCAGAAGCACTTTTAGAGTTTAAAAGTTTAAGTCAGAAGCACTTTTAGGGGCCCTTACATACACCAGGCGTAATAATGTGCAAGACGTGTTTGGTGTGATTTGTTGCTGTTTTCAGACCAGCGCAGCCCTAATTTTCCCCTTTTGCACCACGTTGTTTAAATAGCAAATCTATTTGCACCACTTTGTGGACTCATGGGTGTGCCGGTTTTAGAAAGGAGGTGTGATAAGGCGCATTGTTGGTGCTTTGCTATTTTGAGCAACTGAAATAGGGGTCGATCACACCGAACACGCTTTTTGCGTTGAGAGGCGCCTCTTTTGAATGATTTACTAATAGTTGTGAACGTTTTGCACGCTGCTTATGTGCCTTGCGCATCTCACGTTTTTGCCTTTGCGCACTGTGTGCTTGCAGTTAAAAAAAGGCAACTCTGAGTGGAAAAATCACGATATGTCAGTCGTGTCTGTTTCATTTTTGTTCAGGCTCGTTCTTTATTCTCGAGCTGCAGATGCTGTTTAACTGTTTTCTCGCTTGCCAAGCGTTCAGTTTTTACACTTACAAAGTCCACCATGTAAAAAGCAAATGCACCATGGCGTGACGCAACTTAGGGCCCTATCATACACCCAGCGCAATGTGGCGCAATAGTCTTTTGCTAGTTTTAGCTTGGCGCAAGAGTTGTTTTGAGGCGTTGCGCTACGCTGTTTAAAAAGCAAATGCATTAGCGCTCATTTGTGCGCCCATAGGCGTTCTGGTCTAAAAAGGAAGCGTTCTGAGGCGGACCGCTGGCGCGTTGCTATTATGAGAAACTATAATAGATTTTTCATTCGACCAAAACAAACCCGGTCTAAAGTGCAGCGCAGAGTTGCGCCTCGCTTACACACTGCTTAATACAAGATGAAATACATATGAAAAAAATTAAATATTAAGGATATAATAAGAATATATATAGGATATAAATAAAAAGGATATTCCAAAACATATTATGATGTTACAAAACATTTTATTTTCTAGCCTACATAAATATGAAAAACCACTGCTTTTATGTCTTCTTCATCTCTGGGGGCTTTTTCAGTTCATTCATAACAATTTGCTTTTGTATAATGTTATTATTATTAGCAGTATTATTTATTATATCCATATTTATATTTTTTTTATTTAAAACAAGCTTAGATTTGCCCACCTGTCAGGTTTTAGACCATATGGGGCACAGCATGTGTTTTAGGATATAACTCAGGTTTTGAGCACATTTTGTTATTGTTGTTCATTTATTCGTTTGCTGGAAATTAGAACTGAATTTAGAAATAGTTTTGAAACAAAATTTTGCGCTTAACAAACGAAATTAATTATTCATAGACTAATTGATGTCTGTGTGTAAGGGTTTCCCTATCCAAGAGCGAATGTGAAAGTAGATCCATTATCTCTCATTCTCACGCAGTAGATGCTCTGTTTAACAGTTTTCTGTTAAAACACTGTTAACTGTTTGCTTGTGAAATGCTCATTTTTTCCACTTAGACTTACTTTGCGTCCTGTAAATAGCGAATGCGCTCTTGGCGTGACGCAGCTGGCTCTTAAAGGGAATGGGAGATGAGACTCTGATTGGTTTATTCTCAAAACACACCAATAACTCATTAAGAAAATAAACTCAACCCTTTTAGACCATGCGCCACGGCACAAAGTGGATTTTCCCGTCCTTTAATTAGCAAAAATTGATTCTGACATGCCCTGAAAGTGTTTGCACCCTGCGTTTTGAACTTTTCGCATAGACAGTCAAAATAGAGCTCGTAAAGTGAATGGGAGATGAGACTCTGATTGGTTTAAAGCATGTTATGCTCAAAACACACCTATAACTCATTAAGAGAATAAGCACAACCCTGTTAGACCATGCACCGGGTGCAGAGTGTATTTTTCCATCCTTAAAATAGCAAAAGTGGATTCGGACTTACTCTTTTTGCGCCATGAGCTTTAGACTTTGCTCCTAGATCATTAAAATAGAGCCCTTAGAGTGTAGAATTTCAAGTCAGCAGCACCTCTAGAATTTAGCATTTTAAGTCAGCAGGCTTTGATTTCTGATAAAAATGGTGACGTGTTCAACCTTCTTTCCTCCCACTGTACTGTACCGTATGTGTTGATGTGTGTGTGTGTGTGTGTAAATGCACCGCTGTAGGCGGGGGCCGCTGTTTTTGAGCAGGTGTGCTGTGTTGTTAACAGGGCTACCAGTGGTTGAAGGACAAGATCTTGAGCGAGGAGGGCCGACGCCAGCAGGCGAAGCTGAAAGAGCTGCAGGCAATCGCTGAGCGGCTGGGCTGCACACTGCCACAGCTAGCCATCGGTACGCCAAACACCCAGAGACACACTGCCGCTCTCTCTCTTTCTGTCTGTCTGTCCGTCCGTCCTGTTCCTCGCTCATCCTCTCCCTCTCATCTTACCCTTAATTCCTCAGACCAGGAGCTGACCGCAAATACCATTAGCTCGTGGCGTTAATGGAAGACGGTTCCTGCCTGCAGATAATAGCTTAATGTCTATCTGGTCTAGTGTTTTCTGATGCTCTATATGGGACGTGTTGGGGGGTGCTTTAAGGAGAGAATGGAGAAATTGTTAAGGGAACATCAAACTAGTTCCAAATCTTAATGTAACAGAAATGCTAAAATGATCTTAAAAGCAAATAATGCAAAGATGTTTTAATTATTATTTTATACATATATATTTTTTAATTATTTTTATGTTTATTTTATCTTAATTTTTGAATGATCTTAATACCAAATAATGCAAAAACTTTAGTCATTTTTTATTAATATTTATTATTGTTTTAATGTTTTTGTTGTTAATAATGTTGTATCATAAAGATATTTATTATAATAATCTGATCTAACAATCAAATTATTTTTATTTTTATTAGATATTTATTTTTCAGACATTCTATGAAATAAATGTGTGTTCAAATTTTTATTTTATCATAGGAATATTTATTCATGTTTTTATTAATAATTATTTTATTAATATACTTGTTTACAACACATCGTAACAACACATTCTGCTTATTATTAAACAAAATACAAGTGTATTTATTATGCTCATTCTGGATAGGTTCACATTATAACTTTTAATTTAGCAGAAATACTAAAATAATCCTAATAGCAAATAATCCAGATTTATTTCCATATTTATTTTAATTTTAATGTTTTTTTATTTATTTTATTATAAAAAATCTTGTCATTCTAGTTTTGATCTCGTCCCATTCTAGGTATTTTTGCAAGTAACCTGATCTAATAATCAATTATTTTTATTATTAATTAGTATTTTATTTTCAAATATTTTATCAAATAAATGATTATCAATTTTTGTATTTAATTATTTACAAAAAATGTCTAAGAAAGCGTTTTGCTTCTCAATATGAAAGAAAATAAATGTAAAGTTATTATGCTCATTCGGGCTATTTTAACATTATAAGTTTTGATTCTGAACTATTTAAATACTAAAATAATCGTGATCGCAAATAATCAAAAATATTTGACAGTATTTTTTAAATATTTATTATTATTTTAATGTTTTTATTTATTTTATTATTTAAAAAAACTTGTCATTCTTGTTTTGATCACGTCTCATTTTAGGTATTTTTTTGCAACTCGAATAATAGAAAGTAGAAATGCAAAAAAATATGTAATAAAAATGTTTTTTAAAAAATCTAAAATATTGTACAGTTATTTATTTATTTGTTTTTTATATGAATTATTATTTAAATTTTTTTATTATTATTATAAAAAAGGTTGTCATTCAGGTTTTGATCTCGTACCATTTTAGGTATTTTTGCATTCCAACTCTAATACTAAAGAGTAGAAATAATCCTAATAGCAAATAATTAAAAATATATTTCACAATTATTTTTATTATTAATATTTAGATATTTCATACAAAATATATTTTAAAATATTTATATTTTATTTTTATCAAAGTATATATCAAATAAAAATATCTAATAATCAAATAATTTTTTACTTAATTTAATTTTTTCTTATATTTTATCAAATACATATTTATCACATTTTTATTAGTAATTATTTTAATAAAAATATATATTTTAAGTCAAAGAAAGCATTTTGCTTCTCAGTATGAAACAAAATAATTGTATATATTTTTAACTCATCTTAAAAACTGGGTTTCTTTGAGTTTTAAAAACTTTGGTGTCATCCAACTCTGGGTATTTTTGCATTACTGCTTTACTAATGTTTCCTCATTTACCAATTACATTCTGTAGCAGACCTGTTAATCCTAATCACAGCCACACAATACATCTTACTACAGTACTAATGGCACAGCAGAACTTATTTCTTATTTATTTTTACTCTCTCCCCACTCTGATACCTTAATAACATTTGGCCGTTTTTGTGAATAAACAAGATTAGTTTGCGCCGTTAATGGACGATGGTTCCTCCAGCATCTAAGTGTAGTGATCAATTGAGTTTAGAATGGATTTTGTCTAGTGTTCTATGGTGTTCAGTTTGGTGTCTAAGACGAGAAGTGGTGTGCGATGCTTTAAGGAGAGACTGGAGTGTAGAGTTTCAGAGAAATACAGTATCTGCTGGATGATCTGAAAGGAAAGACTGCGACGCTTTGATTTAAGCACATCCTCTTAGAGTACAGTAAACTGATATAAGAGCTGAGAGTTGCTGGTCACGGTAGTCCAGTTAAAGACCAAACCGTCAGATTCTGTATGCATGCGTGTGTGCTTACTAAGGGGTGGACAGTAGGATATTATATATATAATATGATAATATTTTTTCTTCTAGAGAAAGTCTTATTTGTTTTATTTTGGCTAGAATAAAAGCAGTTTTTAATTTTTTAAAGACATTTTAAGGTCAATATTATTAGCCCCTTTAAGCTTTATTTTTTCGATAGTCTACAGAACAAAGCATAGTTATACAATAACTTGCCTAATTACCCTAACCTGCCTAGCTAACTAGTTTAATTATTAACCTAGTTAAGCCTTTAAATGTACATTATTTAAATGTTAAGCCTTTAAGCTATATAGAAATGTCTTGTAAAATAATATTTACTGTCATCATGGCAAAGATAATATAAGTCTAAATTAGAGGAAAAACAAAAATATTTTGAAAAACAAAATATACCACAAAAAAAAAAAACTTAAAGTAATTGTTGAAGTCAGTGTACATTTTTTGAATTAATTGACTTTATTAGTAATAATTTTATCAAAATAATTGTATTCACATGTTTTATCAAATTGAGTAAATTGTAAAAATTATTGAAAATAAAATTTCTATATATATATATATATATATATATATATATATATATATATATATATATTAAGGGTGGAGCCGAACCCGAATACGGTATTCGGAAAGGCACGAATAGCGTGTTTTTACGAATACTTGATTCGAACAAATACTTGAAAAATTATTTGTATTCAGGAGCAAGAAAAACACTATCAAAAAGCAGCGTTTCCTCATGAGACCACAGTGCATGCCCGCGTGAGTGAGTGAGTGAGAAAGAGAGAGAGAGAGAGAGAGAGAGAGAGACAGAGAGAGAGAGAGAGAGAGAGAGAGAGAGAGAAAGACACACGCTCAGTGCAAAACGCGCCAAAGCCCGAAACTGAAAGCGAGACGTGACTGTTAAGGGGCTGTTTCATATGGATTTATTAATCATTCTTACTGTTCAGTGATCGCAAACTGCCGTAGTTTATTAAAGACGCAAACCTCTCACTGCACGACAGCTGTGCGCCTTCAGCAGACCTCCTCATTCCTGCAGCACGAGAGCTTTATGATTGTTTATGAGCACCAAAAGTGGCGGATCTGTCCGGTAAAATATCTGACTGCGTGTCACCGCATCCCTAAGGACTGTTTGGCGAAATATTTGACTGCATGTCACTGCATAACAAACCACTGAAACGATATAACTAGAGAAATCTCCACTGTGCCACTGTGCGTATGGCAAGCCGTTTTAGCATTTAAACCTTGTTGAGACTATCCATAAATATATTTAGAGATATCTCTAATTATATTTTGACTTGTCATAATTATAACTCAGATTGGAAATATCTGCAAATATATTATGACTGACTAGTCATATTCCTCCATTGACTTCCATTGAAAAATATTTGCAGATATCTCTAAATAAACAAACAAACAAACTTTGTGTCTTTTTTGTGGCTGGCAGATGATAATAGCAGGGCTGCATCTTTTAGTATTATATAGAATACTTTTGTTCTGCCAGATCCCCCAGGCAGGGGTTTATTTAGATTTATTTAGCTTATTTTTGGAATTCTGTCCATTGGAAAAAAGTTCTTTCAGAAGAAGAACAGTTTTTTGAAGTATTATTTGTTTTTATTCTGTCTATTCAGTGTCCTTAAACAAGAACGGTGGTGGTGGGGTTCATAATATTCACAATGGTATTTTATTAGTTGTTGGTTTAACCATGGATGAGATAATGGCTTCTATGTTATTTTCTTTTCAATGACATTTCTTATCACATGTTCAAAAACAACAGCCAATATTGCATATCTATAATTTATATAATGGGTATAATTAAACAATACTTTCACTATAACGTAAATTAGAAGTGTAATAGAAAAAATATATATTTCTGCGCCATTTTGAATTTTACTCGAATACAAATACAAATACAAATACTTTTCCCCCTCAACAAATACAAATACAAATACAAATACCGGCTGCTCCGCACATCCCTAATATATATATATATATATATATATATATTAGGAACAAAAACCATTATAACATTGCATTAAACAAAGTTGCTAAAAACTTTAATTAAATTCAGTAAAAAAAAAATTTATTTACAATTGTAAATACAAATACATACAAAAATAATCCAAATAATAAAAACAACACTTTTGTATCAAAGTATTCGACATATTTATGTTTCTTGATTTTTCATTAACCAATATTTCAGTGAGTAATTATTTTATAAAATAAAATTGTAAACACATATTCTATGAAATATGTATTTTTAATAAATTATTTTACTTGTTATTTTCTATTATTTATTTAACTGGAATTAGAATTAGAATTTCAATTGTTAATATAAATGTACATACAGTACTAAAATAATTAAAACAAACTTTTTCATAAAAATATTTATATAAAATTATAAAAAAATAATTTTCATTACTCATTTAACTTGAGTAAATGTATATTTCAAATAGGGTGACACGGTCGCTCAGTGGTTAGCCATCTAACAGTCGTAATAAGCAGTCGTCTAACAGCTAGAATGTCGCTGGTTCAAGTCCCGGCTGGGCCAGTTGGTATTTTGTGTGGAGTTTGTGTGTTCTCCCCAAGTTGGCGTAGCATGCGCTATAGGTAAATTGAATGAACTAAACTGTGCATGAGTGTGTGTGTGTGTGCGCGTGTATTTGTGTTTGTGTGTGTGTGTGTGTGGGTGTGTGCGCGCGCGTGTGCGTGTGTGTGTGCGTGTGTGTGTGTGTGTGTGTGTGTGTGTGTGTGTGTGTGTGTGTGTGTGTGTGTGTGTGTGTGTGTGTGTGTGTGTGTGTGTGTGTGTGTGTGTGTGTGTGCGCGCGTGTGCGTGTACGTGTATTTGTGTTTGTGTGTGTGTGTGTGTGTGTGTGTATGAATGTCAGAGTGTATGGGTGTTTCCAAGTACTGGGTCGTGGCTGGAATGACATCCGCTGTGTAAAAAACCTACAGTATGCTGGAATAGTTGGGGGTTCATTCCGCTGTGGCAACCCCTCATAAATGAAGGGAGTAAGCCGAAGGAAATGATTGAATGAATATTTCATGTACTCATCCTTTAAAAACATGCATCCTGGTTTTGGTCTCGTCTCACTCTTTGTATTTTCACATTACTAGTATGTTCCATCACTGCTTGCTCTTAGAAATTACCACTTGAACAGACCTGTTTAATAACAGCTGCACTAATATTTGTCTTACTACAGTATTAATGGCATAGCAGAGCTCAGTTGTCATCATCTGCTCTATACATTGCCCGATACCCTTCATAACTCTAATCCTGAAAGTTTGTGGAAGTCCTTCATTTTCCAGCCGCATAGAAGTGGTAAATTGGTGCCGTGTTTGTGACAGCAACGCCTCTGTGATTCATCCGCTGGGGATAAAAATCTTGACAGGACCTCAATCCCCAGAGCAGCGGCCGATAGCATCACCTGGCCTTTAATGCAGTCGTACATTACATTTCACAGCTCATTACTGGGTTGCCAGATCCTCCCAGACTCTGCTGATCTCGCATCCAATCGATTCCCAGCCACGGCAGCTTCTTCATTTAGAAGAGCGCTGTCCTTAAATATAGCGCTGCGGGTCAGATCTGTGCAGGGTTAATGAAGCGTACAGGCTTATAAATGAGCTGAGCTTGAGGGATGACGTTGTAGGCTGTTATTGACTGAGTCTGGGAGAATGATTTTAAGCTGTAAAAACTGACGAGCTTGAACTTGGAAAAGCTGAACTGTAAAACTTACTCAATAAACATGTTTTATTAGGTTGTGAACAAGAGTAGCTAACTGAAATACAGAGATTGCATTATATATATAATTAGAGCTGTGGTGAAAATTGTTTGAGAAAGGAATTGATTATGCGTCAACTCTGAGATTTTCTTGAATTAATAATCATTACTGAAGTTGCGAATTTAAGTGATTTACAAGAGATTATTGTGAGCTGACTGCATAAATCATCTGCTGTTAAACACTAGCCTAGAGCGCCATCTGCTGTTAAAAATAGGATAGAGCACTCTCTGCTGTTAAAAACTAGCCTAGAGCACCATCTGCTGTTCAAAATCCGCATAGAGCGCCGTCTGCTGTTAATAACTAGCCTAGAGCACCGTCTGCTGTTAAAAACTAGCCTAGAGCACCGTCTGCTGTTCAAAATCAGCATAGAGCGCCGTCTGCTGTTAAAAACTAGCCTAGAGCACCGTCTGCTGTTCAAAATCAGCATAGAGCGCCGTCTGCTGTTAATAACTAGCCTAGAGCACCGTCTGCTGTTAAAAACTAGCCTAGAGCACCGTCTGCTGTTCAAAATCAGCATAGAGCGCCGTCTGCTGTTAAAAACTAGCCTAGAGCACCGTCTGCTGTTCAAAATCAGCATAGAGCGCCGTCTGCTGTTAAAAACTAGCCTAGAGCACCGTCTGCTGTTCAAAATCAGCATAGAGCGCCGTCTGCTGTTAAAAACTAGCCTAGAGCACCGTCTGCTGTTCAAAATCAGCATAGAGCGCCGTCTGCTGTTAAAAACTAGCCTAGAGCACTGTCTGCTGTTCAAAATCAGCATTGAGCGCCGTCTGCTGTTAAAAACTTGCCTAAAGCGCCGTCTGCTGTTAAACACTAGCCTAGAGCACCGTCTGCTGTTAAAAATAGGATAGAGCACTGTCTGCTGTTAAACACTAGCCTAGAGCACCGTCTGCTGTTCAAAATCAGCATTGAGCGCCGTCTGCTGTTAAAAACTTGCCTAGAGCGCCGTCTGCTGTTAAACACTAGCCTAAAGCGCCATCTGCTGTTAAAAACAGGATAGAGCACTGTCTGCTGTTAAAAACTAGCCTAGAGCGCCGTCTGTTGTTCAGAATCAGCATAGAGCGCCATCTGCTGTTAAAAACTAGCCTAGAGCACCATCTGCTGTTCAAAGGTAATCTAGAGCACCGTCTGCTGTTAAAAACTAGCCTAGAGCACCGTCTGCTGTTCAAAATCAGCATAGAGCGCCGTCTGCTGTTAAAAACTAGCCTAGAGCACCGTCTGCTGGTAAAAACTAGCCTAGAGCACCGTCTGCTGTTCAAAATCAGCATAGAGCGCCGTCTGCTGTTAAAAACTAGCCTAGAGCGCCATCTGCTGTTCAAAGGTAATCTAGAGTGCCGTATGCTGTTAAAAACTTTCCTAGAGCGCCATCTGCTATTAAGCACTTGCCTAGAGAGCGGCCTGCTTTTAAAAACTTGCCTAGAGTGCTGTCTGCTGTTAAACACTAGCCTAGAGCACCATCTGCTGTTCAAAGGTAATCTAGAGTGCTATCTGCTGTTCAAAATTAGCCTAGAGCAACGCCTTCTGTTCAAAAATAGCCTAGAGCGCAGTCTGCTTTTACAAACTAACCTAAAGCACTGTCTGCTGTTCAAAATCAGCCTAGAGCACCATCTGCTGTTTAAAACTAGTCTAGAGCAACGTCTGCTGTTCAAAACTAATTTAGAGAGCCATCTGCTGTTAAAAATCAGCATAGAGCGCCATCTGCTATTCAAAATTCACTGTTTTGGGTATCTTTCCACAAGCTTCTCACAATAGTTTGAAGGAATTTTGGCCCATTCCTCCTGACAGAATTGGTGTAATTGAGTCAGATGTGTAGGCTGTGTTGCTCGCACAAGCTTGTTCAACTCTGCCCATAAATTGTCTATAGGATTGAGATCAGGGCTTTGTGATGGCCACTCCAAAACATTCACTGTTGTCCTTAAAGCACATTTTAACTACTTTGGCAGTATGCCTAGGGTCATGGTCTGTTTGGAAGACACATTTGTGGCTAGGTTTTAATTTCCTGGCTGATGTCTTGAGATGTTGCTTCAGTATTTCTACACAATGTTCTGTCTTCATGATGCCATCTATGCTGTGAAGTGGACCAGTCCCTCCTGCAGCAAAACAGCCCCACAACATGATGCTGCCGTCCCCATACTTCACAGTTGGGATGGTGTTGCTAGGCTTGTAAGCTTTTCCCTTTGTCCTCCAAATGTAACACTGGTCATTATGGCCAAACAGTTCAATCTTAGTTCCATCAGACCACAGGACATGTCTCCAAAAATTAGTCTTTTTCCCAGTGTTATTTAGCAAATTGTAATCTGTTTTTTGTTGATTCTGGCTTGTTGATTTTCCCATGTTGTCACACAAGGAAGCAGTGTGTTTGAGGTTTTCCTTAAATACTATTCTACAGTTGTGCCTCACATTAACTCAAATGTTGTCAATTAGCCAATCAGAAACTTCCAAAACCTTGACAGCATCATCTGAGATTTTTCAGAGGCAGAATAATCTTATTGTATGTAAACTTGACTTTCAAGAAAAGTTATAACAATTTCTCAAACAATATCTCTCTCATTATTCTGCTATTAAGCAGAACAGAAACAAATATGATAATCCTCACTTACCTAAAAGAGAAAAAGTTTAGTCACATTAACATCTGACTTTTTAAAAATGGTTATGTGCCTTTTTATACAGTGTATGCAAACTTCTTCTTTCAACTGTATGTATGTATGTATGTAAGTATGTATGTATGTATGTGTGGCTGTGTGTGTATGTGTGTATTCAGACAGTGCAATCTGTCAGGGCGAAAGTGCTGAAATCCATTCAAATCCACTGTAGTGTGATTTACCCAGAGCTGAATGTTTCATATCTGTGTAGCCTTGAAAAAATGGCTCAATGGCTGCCATTTTTACACACACAAACACACATCAGTACAGTAAACTCACTTCAATGCCAACACACAGAACGCCAGTGGCACAGATGGCACACACACATACACACACACAGTTCCAGGAGGGACTGAAATCCCCACAGAGTTTCCTTCCTGTGTGTTGCATGGACGGCGGTCAGTGGTCAGCATGGCTCCTCTCCACCTCCTCTGCGCTCCTGCAGATTTCGCTGCTCTTCTCTTCTTCTGAGCGCGCTCAGTGTATCCTGGTGCTGGGAGCCATGGTAACGGTGCTCTGGCAACTGCTGTGTGTTTTTTGTGCGATGCTTCGGTGTGTGTAGGAGTGGGAGAAGTAGCTGCTTTAATTTTGGAAATGGCTTAATTTGTATGTGTTTGGTTTTAAATATAACATCGATGTCCTCGTGATGGTTAAGGGTGGGTGGGTGTGTGTGTGGGGGGGGGGGGGTGTCATGTGTTCATGCTTGTGTGATGTTATTAATGCTGTATGTTGAACACAGCGTGGTGCCTGAGGAATGAAGGTGTGAGCTCTGTGCTGCTCGGAGCCTCCAACACGGACCAGCTGATGGAGAATATTGGAGCAATACAGGTGAGGAAGTGTCAATCACATGCTGGGCCCCGCCTCAAAACTCTTATCGACCAATCAAAGTTGCACTGCAGCTGTATGTACCAGAATGAGACTGAGCTTTATTCACAAGTGTGTTAAATAAGTGGGAAATAAAGTAAACAACAATTCTGAAGTTATATCATATACAGTTGAAGTCAGAATTATTAGCCCCCCTGTTTATTTTTTCCCTCAATTTCTGTTTAACGGAGAGAACACATTTTTTTTAACACATTTCTAATCATAATAGTTTTAATATCTTTAAAATCTTTGCCAGGATGACAGTAAATAATATTTGACTAAATAGACACTTCTATAGAGCTTAAAGTGACTTTTAAAGGCTTAACTAGGTTAACTAGGCAGGTTAGGGTAATTGGGCAAGTTATTGTACAATGATGGTTTGTTCTGTAGACTATCGAAAAAAATAAATATAGCTTAAAGGGGCTAATAATTTTGACTTTAAAATGGGTTTTAAATAAATTAAAACTGCTTTTATTCTTGTTGAAATAAACCAAATAAGACTTTCTCTAGAAGAAAAAATATTGTCAGACATACTGTAAACATTTTCTTGCTCTGTTAAACATCATTTGGGAAATATAAAAAAAAAAGAAAAAAATCAAAGGAGGGCTAATAATTCTGACTTAAACTGTTTATTGCCTTTTTAACTGTACAAATATGAGATAAAATGTTTATATAAACTTATTTACAATTAAGTGACTCTATTGGTAAGAGAAAACATAAACAGTAAGGGTCCTGTATGTTTATGAGGAACCAAGAAACAGAAATGTGTGCACATCTGGGATTCTCAAAGGCAGAGGCTTGAACAAAAACAAACACAGTGACAAAAGGTCAAAAGAAAATCAGCTGTGTGAAAATGTATTGATTAATGCACTTGACAGATTTCATTCATTCATTTTTCTTCTACTTTTTCCCTGGTTTACCACAGCGGAATGAACCGCCACTTACTTGACAGATGTATTTTTCATTTTAGGTGGTCTTTGTAATGTGTTTTATGTTTGGTAAAATAATTTCTAATTTCATCTTAAGTCATTTTTAAACTATAGTAAATACACTGCTTGTTCCAATAGGTGGATTTAGAGGTTTTTGCATAAAAAAGCAGAGGTGGATTTAGCTGGTTTTGACACAAAAGAAAATCCATTTTGTTAAAATCAAAGAATTGTCTAAAGTTACATTTATGAAAAAAAATTACTAGATAATAACCTTATCATTACATATAATATGAAACTTCTGATCCTGATTACGGGAGCATGCTCATTTACAAGAAAAGAGGTCTAATGGATTTAGAGGGTTTTGCATCTAAACTCTATATATAAATATATATAACTCATTATATACTAACTATATATATAACTCATCTCTAATAACTGATTTATTTTATCTTTGTCATGATGACAGTAAATAATATTAGACTAGATATGTTTCAAGACACTTCTATACAGCTTAAAATGACATTTAAAGGCTTAACTAGGTTAATTAGTTTAACTAGGCAGGTTAAGGTAATTAGGCATTGTATAACGATGGTTTGTTCTGTAGACAGTCGAAAAAAAAAAAATAAAAAAAGCTTAAAGGGGCTAATAATATTGACCTTAAAATGGTGTTTTAAAAACTTTTCCGGAAGAAAAAATATTATCAGACATACTGTGAAAATTTCTATGCTCTGGTAAACATCATTTGGGAGACATTTAAAAAAGAAAAGAACTTCCAAAGGGGAGCTAATAATGCTTACTTCAACTGTGTTTGTGTGTGTGTGTGTGTGTGTGTGTGTGTGTGTGTGTGTGTGTGTGTGTGTGTGTGTGTGTGTGTGTGTGTGTGTGTGTGTGTGTGTGTGTATATAGAGATAGATAGATAGATAGACAGACAGACAGACAGACAGACAGACAGACAGACAGACAGATAGATAGATAGATAGATAGATAGATAGATAGATTGGGAAACATTTTCTAAAATTAAAAAAACAGATAAAATGTAAGAAACTACAGTTTTTAAAATGTAAATAATAAAGTAAAATAATTTTTAAACTGTTAAAAACGTAACACTTTCAAATAATGAAAAATGTAATATTTTTAAACATTTCTTAATACAAAGCAGTTAATAATGCAGCAGTTGCTCAGTGAATATGATCAGGGTTCACTTCTTATATATTTAAGATCACTTACTCCCTCTAGTGGCTACTGTATTAATGCATAACATGAACAGTTAAAGTCAGAATTATTAGTACCCCTGGGTAATTAGCCCTCCTGCATGTTATTTTCCCCAATTTCTGTTTGACAGGGAAACATTTTACTAAAATTTAATTCTAAACATAATTTTAAAAGTTTTAATAACTAATTTCTAATGCTCGATTTGTTTTATCTATGATGACAGCACATCATATTTGACTAGATATTTTCCAAGATTCTTGGATTTAGACTAACTTGACATGTAAAGGCTTAACTAGGTTAATTAGGCAAGTCAAAAATATTGCTTAAGGTGGCTAATGATATTGACCTTCAAATGGTTTTTAAAAAATTAAAAACTGCTGTTTTCTATCCAAAATAGAACAAAAAAAGTTTATTTCTCCAGATAAAAAAAACAGTATAGAACAGGGGTTCTCAACTGGTTTGGCCATTAGACCCACATTTTTACAAGGTCATCAAGCCGCGACCCAAATTTTAAGGAACTATAATACAATTTTAGGAATTATAATTAGTTTGTATTTATTTATTAACATAAACAAGTAGTGATACAGGGGCGGACTGGGACAAAAATTCAGCCCTGGCATTTTAGCCACATCAGCCCACATTACCACACCGACACAACTCACCCACGGACACAGACATTTACTATTTATTTTGGTGTACAGATGGTGAAATAATATGACATTCTTGCTGGATTTTGATTACGTCCTGGTAACCTCGGATTGGGTCGGCCCATCTTGAAATCAGGCGCCCATCACCAATTGGGCCAAATGCTTAACATTTATAATTATTATTATTATTTTATTATCATCATCATAATATCACATCTAGCAAGACATAAAAGCTGTCTGCACGTAAGAACAATACATATAAAAAAAAAAAGAAAAACTGACCGGCCCACATTTAAAAATTGGTCCGGCCCTTCTGGCATTTGCCAGAATTGCCAGATGGCCAGTCCGCCTCTGTAGTGATAGATAAATCATAAGAAATGCACCAAGACTTACAAAAAAACACTATTTTATTGTTTTCATTTAACAAAATGGATCAAATTATAGAAATATTACAAAGTAAAAGTGACAAATACTGTTAATAACAAACTGTTAATAAAACATGTTTACTGGTTTCTAAATGTTGTTTTAATTTAGAAGGTTTCATGCTCATAAATATATATATATATATATATATATATATCCTTACTTTAGATATTCGGGGTCATACTTACGCTTGACATATGTTGCAATAATCAAATGAAATTTCACATGTCAAACAGTAGGGTTGTCGCGCATGCATTTCAAAATAAAAGTCCGGTATAAGCAAAAATAAGTAAAAAATTTAACTTTTTTTTTTTTAACACACACTCCGCGACCCACTGAAAATGTTCCCGCGACACAGTTGAGAAACACTGGTATAGGAAATACTGCCAAAACGTCTTTGCTCTGTTAAACATCATCCAGCAAATGTATGATAAAGAAGAATTATTTTGACTATATCTATATGCATTGATACCAGATTGTTTTTGCAGGTTCTTCCAAAGTTATCGTCCTCCATCGTGCACGAGGTGGACAGTATCCTGGGCAACAAACCCTACAGTAAAAAGGACTACCGCTCCTAGTGTGTATCCGGACGGGACCGGACGCTCCGCACACACCTTTGCCTGATCCTCCGTTCGCTTCAGCTTTTACTGAATGAGTTCCGGCAGCATGAGACGGGCAAGCACCCACAAACCCCGGAGAGCAAGACTTTTACAACACCAAGGGCAAGAAACACACAAAAACAAACTTTCAAAAAAGACACATTCACTGACCGAGGCGGTGGAAAATGCAAAGGCATCGAAGATACGGATTGATCTGCAGATAAGGTACTTTAAGATGGCATCATTAGGGTAATTAAGAACAAACATTTTCAAAAAAAAAAAAAGATGCTTAAAATAATAACATGCTTGCTTGGTTGCTGGAAATATTTGTTTCTTTCTTTTTATTTTTTTAATATTGAATGCGTGGCTGAAGCTGAAATACAGTAGACTCCACATGATTCACAGCCACTAATGTGATCCATTTGGGTTTGCGTACATCGTTCACATCAGCGCACCCACAAAAATCTTCACTGTGTCGTTCGTCTGCGTTTCGTATGCACACGCCCCCTTTCGCAGGCAAACCAATCAGCACTTTATGACAACATCAGAGGGAGTGGCTTTGTGGGAACGGATTTGAATGCAGCTCAGAAAAATAATCAACGGCGTATTGTGCACAGGGCATCTTCTCTATCTAGCCTCAAAAAGCGACCCTGGCTCCTCATTCGTCATTGCTTTGCTATCAGGGGGACATTTCTCGGACATTGTGTTTTTAGATGGGCAGCTGTCTGTGTTTTTGCTGAAGATTGCTGGAAACTGATGGTCTTCCTGCGCCGACGCTCACATTTAGTGGACTGAAATTGCAGTTATTCACGCTAGTTTGGTAGATTTTAAGTGTAGGTTGAACTTACTAATGGGATACGCATGCTTCATAAGTATTTAATGCGATTAATGCTCATTTTTAAGGCTGTTAGAAACGTCACCATTGTGTTCTGATCATATTTCACCTCAAAATCAATATACTAATATAAGATGCACAAAATTATTTGACTTGTTTTTAGATATTTTAATAATGATTAAGCACATTTGCATACAAACTGTAGCTTTAATATTGAATGGGGGAATGTAATGCTGATTTTAAAAAGGATGCATTACAGCGATTTGATTTAATAAAAAAATCATAAGGCAAGATAAATGAAATTATATTACTTTTCTTAGGATCTTAGGAGTATTGTTTAATACAATATATATATATATATATATATATAATATATGCGTTATAGGCGCAGTGCGTTATGGCTGTATATTGTCACTGTTGGGAGGCGTGCGTTGTCTTAAGCCTGGTTTATACTTCTGCATCTTGTGATCGGCGTGACCCACGGCGCATGCAACGTGCATAGCTCGGAATTCATACTTCTGCGCGCTGTTTGTGTTACTCTGCAATAACACTTTTGAAACGCTAGTTGGCAGTGAGGTGTAAATGTTCCTCTGTGTCGAGTTTCTTGGCTGGTGTTTTGTTTTTTATGAACATTTTCTTAAATGGTTCAAACTCGCTCATTTTGAGGCAGGACCCGGCAGACGTGCCACAACTTTAACCATCCGGAGCTCCTTCACGGGACTCCACACTTGTAAAACAACCGCTCTGCCGGGCTTGCTCAGCTCTCTGTCCCGCCCACACTTGTCAGCGCTACCAACTGGATCAATCACAGAGCTTGCACTACGCATCGTTGTGATTTGTAGTTAAATTTTTTGAGAGGTGCGCGTCGAGGGCTATGCGTCCAAGCGTAGGGCTTGCCGTAGCATACATATGCGATCAACGCCAGTGACGCTATACAGCCATATCGCATTGCTACTGTGATATTGTATAATGTAATAGTACTGTGATATTGCGTTTATACAACAGTTTGACGGCATAATCACGTATATAAAAAAGAAAATCAAACTTGAGAGTTTAAAAACCCTTCTGTTTGAAGAACTCATTTCTTCCCCCATTCATTCACATCTGCATCTGACCGTCAGAACAGCAGAAACTGTTGTTAATTCACCATCGCCACTTTAGAGCTAGTGTTTGAATGATTCTCTAGCGTAATGTCTTAAGTAATGATAAAACAGGTGATTTTGCTCACATTTTAAGATTATAAGGCTGAACGTCATCAGTCTACAGAGATTTCCCAGTAGTTCTCGGTTGCATTCGGGAGATCACAATAATTAACCCCGAAAAGCCAAAGCAAAACAAACACTAGCAGATTACTATGGTATAAACACTGCACTACAATATACAAAAGAGAAAGATTAGAATGTCACTCACCTGTTTTATAATGTTTTATCAGCTGTAGTATGAAATTTACAGTTTTTCGTCCCCTAAGCACTTATTATACGGTCTCTTGTCGCCATCTTGTGGCGGAATGTGAACCTTCTTTGCTCTGCTCAACGACAGGCTAATGACCGCCAATACACTGAATCTCTGAAATTATAAATATTTAAATGAAAATAAATAAACTACACAGTTGCAAACTAAACAACTACATTCTTGACTAAAAAAAAGCCTCAAAAATACATTATGTTGTCCGACAGCTGCAGTATTTGTCAAACTGAAGTGAGATTATTCCTCTGCCATCCCTCTGTGGGCGGAGTAATACGTAATACACAAGGGTGAAGAGGCTGAGTAAGTGCTGTTATTGCAGAATATCACACAGCTATCAACCAATCAGATTCATGAACCAGCCAGAACTGTTGTGTAATATATATATATATATATATATATATATATATATATATATATATATATATATATATATTTGTTTGTTCTGATTTTCATTTCATTACACAATTAGTTTAAAAAAATATACCTAAAAACAAATATACTATATAATGTAAGGTTTTTAAAAATATTACTTACTAGTATAGGAGTATTTAAAATTTTTCTTATTACTGCAATGCACCACATGCATTCCAAAGTACATTTGTTTCATTTTAAGTGTGCGTCATGATGGTGTTTGCTGTTGATTTAAGTGCAAGAAGAAAAAAATAACCAGAGAATAATGCAACAATCTTGCATCATAATAAAAAACACAATGCAAAAAAATCACTGATTTTAAGGTGAAGTATGATCTAAAATGTCTTCATAGCGTTCGACGTGCAAGTCAAATTCATTGATTATTAGTAAACCAGTAACACGGGCTGAGGTAACTCATACAAACATGCAAAAAGTTGCAAGTTAAGTTAGTTTTACACACAATTCTGCTTCATCAGTAGCAAAAAAACACAAAAGCAACGTCCTGATGATCTGCAGCATAACTCCAGCACAGATGCTCCAGCCAATAGGAAAGCAGACTGTTTCAATGACATCATCTCACCCGGCCAATCAGAGCAAAGATCTGTGTGTGTGTGTGTGTGTGTGTGTGTGTGTGTGTGTGTGTGTGTGTGTGTGTGTGTGTGTGTGTGTGTGTGTGTGTGTGTGTGTGTGTGTGGCAGCAGCTCAGGGACTGCGCTAGAATGTCTAGGTTTGCGTGTGTGACTTTCATCATCCTAACATGCATCACTGTTTGTTCATCTCATTTCTGGACACTGGGCATTCCTCGTATGTGCCGGTAATGACGATACGTGTGGCTGAAGCCAAAGATTTATCCCACAAACCCGTCAGTAACGTGACTCCCGCGTCTTTTCCGACAGACGACGATCAATCGGTCATTTAGCAGCATGCATTTGGGCATCTTTGTATATTCACTTTTAGCAGCGCGCTATACCAATAAGTACATATATAGTGCAAGTATACATAGTGCACTCAGTATGAGCGATAAGCAGTCTTAGATCTTTTTAATATGGAGGTTGGTCACCAGACATTTTGGATAGGGGCAGTGTTTAATCAAGCACAAGGGAATTTGCATGAGGTTGATTTGAAAGCATGTTGAATCCGATGCGCTCACTGCTGTTTTAGCTACTCACATACGCGATTCGCTCATAAGACCGAAAAACACCGGATCATTTTTGGTGCATTTTGGGGGAAAATGAGCTTGCATAGTAGTATCAGACTCAGATTTTAAGAGTTCTCATGGGAGATCAGTTTGTCTTTGTGTATCAGATGTACTGTAGGGCTGTTCCATCCCAAATATTTTGTTGAGTTGATTCCGATTTCTAGTTCTTGAAACAATGGACTCGATTCCGAGAATCAATTCCTCACTGTTGTTGCGAACCTTTTTTTTTTTTTTTTTTAATTCTCGAAGCTCGATTAAACACATACATTGTATTGGATGCATGTCACACTAACATCAAAATTGAAGCAAGGGGGAAAATGCGAAATACCAATTTAAAAATTGAGTGCAAAAACGAAGAACTGTAATTTCCATATGCGTGTTGAACTGTGGAGGTCGTACTAAACGGTTCAATATTATGTTTAGTATTGCGGCATTCTATGACATACTAGAACCGCTGTGGTAAAAGTGAACCACAGACATGGTTGTTTGAACCAGTTCATTGAAGCGAACCATCTGAATCTGTTCGCAGAGATCTGTCTGATTATTTGCAAGAGAGAATTGATTCCTCTTGATAGAACTTTGATTTCTAACACCTCAAAATTCTTTTAGGAATCAACTCTTGATTCTTAATACCTCAGAATTGAGGAGTCAATTATTTTTAAAATCAACTCTTGAACCTTCAGGCATCAGAATCAAGAAATCTAGTCTTCTTGGAATTGACTTTTTTTTTTTCTTCCTAAGACCTCAGAATCCAGGAATCGATTCTCCTTGGATTTAACTTGACTCTTAATGCCTCAGAATCAAGCAATCAGTTATTTTTTAAATTGACTCAGGAAGAGGCAAAGGAATCAAGGAGTCAATTCTTTTTGGAATCGACTCTTTATATGTAAGGCATCAGAATTGAGAAATTAATTCTCTTTGGATTTGACTTGATTCTTAAAGCTTTAGAATTGAGTAATCAATTATTTTTGCTTCTTGAAATCGTTTTTTTTTTTTCTTAATGCCTCATAATCAAGCATTCTATGCTTTTTGGAATTGCCTCTTGATTCTTAATGCCGACTGTTGAATCTAAACCAACTCTTAAATCTTCAGGCATAAGAATTAAGGAATCTTTTATTCTTGAAATTTACTTTTTTTTTTTCTTAAGACCTCAGAATCAACGAATCAATTTTTTTTTAGATTTTACTTGATTCTTAATGACTCAGAATCAAGGAGTCAATTCTTGTTGGAATCAAATCATTATTTGTAAGGCCTCAGAATTAAGAAATCAAATCTTTTTGCAACTGACTTAATTCTTAAGGCCTCAGAATCAAGAAATCAATTATTTCTGGACATGCCTCTTGATTCTAAATGCCTCAAAAACGAGGAATTGTTTTTTGTTTGGAATCAACTCATGGCATACGAATCCAGGAATTAGTTCTTTTTGGAATCAACTCTTTATTCTTAAGGGCTCAGAATCAAGGAATCAATTCTCCAAGGAATCAGCTCTTTATTCTTAAGGTCTCGGAATAGAGAATTCAATTCTTTTTCAGACTGGATTTTTAACAGCTCAGAATCTAGAAAGCATTTCTTTTTGGTATCATCTAATAAATCTTAAGACATTAGAACAAGGAATCAGTTTTTTTTTTTAAATCGTCTTTTCATTTGTAAGAACTTCAAATCGAGAAATCAGTTATTTTTGGAAATAATTTCTAATCGAGGAATCATTTGTTTTTTGTTTTTTAATTGACTCATGAATCTTAAGGCAAAAGAATCCAGGAATCAGTTCTTTTTGGAATCAACTCCCAGCCCTAATGGAATAGATGATGAGCTTTAAATGAGTGTGCTGTTTGGTGTTGGTGTCCTTTCATCTCATCTGTGTGTTTGTGACGAACACTGAACTGAGCGCTTGAAGCCACGTACATTTACTGTGTGATGGGAACAGTGCAGTTATTCCTGAAAGATTAGCACTTTATTTGTCTCCTTCGAGAGGATTCATTTACATCTATGTCAACATCTTTGATTTCTTTTAAAGGAATGTTTTGGGCTCAGAGCAACTTAAGCAGACAAAGATCGATTATCATTTAAAATACATCAATATCTTGTTTACAGTATTGAGCTTGACATGGAAATGCTAGTTTTAAAGTAAAGTAAACGTGTGTTGTAAAGTTTACAGGCTTTTAGAGAATTTGAGGATAACATTAGTTTAATTTTATTGGAGGCAATGTCACTGTATCGTCCGAATATAAACTGAATTTGTTGAATGCAAAATGTTATTGATTTTAGTTTTAAAGAGAATCTTTTCATGGAATTTGTTGCAAGCAATTTAT